GCAAAAATATTTTCTCCAATAATTGGGCTTCAACTAGGTACCAAATTTAAAGTATTTCTGCCCTATTTTGATATCTAAAAATCGCTAGGAAACTTTTTCAAAACTTCAGATCTAATTTTGAGCTATTTTTCGTGTGATTACCCCAATAAAAATACCCATCAAAATAAAGCTTAGGATGTAAGCTTTTCAAAGAAGAAGGAAGGAGAACGATTGATGGAACGGCGAACCGCCGCCGCCAGAAAATCGATGCTCACTTGTTTAACTCTCTGTGTACTGGTCACACAAAATTTTTACTAGACTGGTGCTTCGGACTTGTGAAGCGACAATACAGGAGGACTTTTGCTTCGTCTTTGCAGGACATTGCAAATGTAGTTTTTGATAGTTCAAGTAAAGGATCGAACATTCCCTGTTTTTGTTGGGAATTAAAATGTAAAATCATCTGTGCCATTTTATGCATGGGATGATTTTTCCAATCCACATTTTAGGCCATTAGTTGGTATAAAGTCACTGTATCACTTTAGGATTGACCAAAGTAAACCTGGGTTTATCTTTGTAAAAGAGTGGCATGATAGCGAAGAAAATTGAAATCAAACTGCTAAAGTCAGAGTTTCTAACTGGTATGCCTGATAAAATTCCACCACAAGGCTTAAGTGATGCAAGAAAAAAATATCTGTATGATGAAATCCGTGAATTCTGTAGGAAAGATACTAGAGACCGTGTGTGCTCAGACCCTTAGTAAAAAGGGGAATTAAATGTTTTTAAATTAAAAGTAAATAAAATAGTGTTAATGCAGATCACTATTCTACTGTGTATTAAAATAGTCTGCCAGTGATCTTTGTATTGAATAAGACTGCTTCCAGGATGCGACTGGCATTAGTGGAAGGAAAGTATACTGTATACTGAAGTTAAATGGATAATAAAAATGTGTTTTAAAAAATTATTTTCAATGGAACAATATATCTGCCTTATAAGCTCCAAATACTGTATCTCCCTAGTGTGATTTTTAGATCTCTTGCTGTCCATAGGACATTGTGTCCATGCAGAATGATTTTCTTTGCAGGTAAATTACCGGTATTTGACAGATGAAGGTATTACAACAAGAAAAGGGTCACACCAGGTGATTAGCTATTTGTACCAGTTTTTAGACAATTATGGACTTGGAGAAAAGCACCTCATCCTGAACGCCAACAACATTATGATGAGATATCTCATGTGGCGAGTTAAAAAAATTGACTCAATACTTCTATTATGTCATTTCTGTGTGCTGGTCACACACAATTTTCACCAGACTGGTGCTTCGGTCTTGTAAAGCAACAGTACAGGAGGACTTTTGCTTCGTCTTTGCAGGACATTGTAAATGTAGTCTTTGATAGTTCAAGTATAAAAGGATCAAACATTCCCTGTTTTTGTTGGGAATTAAAATGTAAAATCATCTGTGCCATTTTATGCATGGGATGATTTTTCCAATCCACATTTTAGGCCATTAGTTGGTATAAAGTCACTGCATCACTTTAGGATTGACCAAAGTAAACCTAGGTTTATCTTTGTAAAAGAGTGGCATGATAGCGAAGAAAATTGAAATCAAACTGCTAAAGTCAGTGTTTCTAACTGGTATGCCTGATAAAATTCCACCACAAGGCTTAAGTGATGCAAGAAAAAAATATCTGTATGATGAAATCTGTGAATTCTGTAGGAAAGATACGAGAGACATTGTGTGCTAAGACCCTTAGTAAAAAGGGGAATTAAATGTTTTTAAATTAAAAGTAAATAAAATAGTGTTAATGCAGATCACTATTCTACTGTGTATTAAAATAGTCTGCTAGTGATCTTTGTATTGAATACTGGCATTAGTGGAAGGAAAGTATACTGTATGCTGTAGTTAAATGATAATAAAAATGTGTTTTAAACAAATTATTGACAACAATTTAAATTACTGATTATAACTAAAACATAGTAAACCTATTATAAATCTAGCATCTGTCTGATTTTAATATTATTGAAACAGCTTACTATTGTGCAGTACTGTATAATTTTATCACTATCCAATGTATTTTTAAGGTTTTTAAATAAAATGACATGAGCACAATTTCTATACAGTACTTAAAGTTCTATCTTCATGTCAGTTACTTCTCTGACACAAACTTGGCGCCATCACAACTTTCTAATGTTTCGAACCGTCACAAACACTTCGTAGTGAGATGTCGACAAGTCCTTTGGGCAACATCTGTGCTGAGCGACTGTTCGCATCACTTGACTGCTTGCAAAAACAAATGCCAAACGCAAACACCATATCGATGGAAGGGATAATTCTATGAACACAAAATAAAACAATGTCATATCTTAACAGTCTTCCAACCCAGGAGAATGCCCGCCCTTCTAATGGAGAAAGCAAGGAAAACGACTCCAGCTATCCTGGAAGGATATCGAGACAGAAAGGAAGAAATTAAGGCGCACCGTAACATAGTGTCCACTGGACATGACCCATAAGCCATTCACCCTCTCCCTCTCCTGGGTCTACTTAAGTGAGTCATGCATTCCTTACTGGGAAAGTCACTCAGGATGTTTATGCTACAGTACATCACTGGTAAGGAATGTCTTGATGAGCCCTTGCTTCCTGTCCCCCTGTATATTATAAGTTACTTTAGTAGGTAGGATAGTCAGATTTGAGTTTTGATTCTTGTGCCCTCGATCACGCATACCGATAGACGGTGGCTAGCGGTGGTCCTCTACAAGCACCTAAGACAATCTGATTTTCAGAAGTTACAGATGAATTTAACCATTGGAACAGTGAGCAGTGAGTAACCAACTTTTGATTTGTTAACATGGCTAGCAGACCCAAAGCTAGGTCCTAAACTAGGACAGCTGTTAATACCCCTGACCAGCAATCATTGTCTGATGACTTAGACGATGATGTATATTTTCAAAATCAGGCTATGGCCATGAAAGTGAGAGAATTAGAATACCAGCTAAAAATTAGAGAGCTAGAAGTACAATTGGCCAACGCTGGTAGGCAACCCCAACACAACACCAACAGCCCGATTCACAAAATCCCCAAAATTACGGAAAAGGACGGATATTGACACCTATATGACATGTTTCGAAAGGATTGCCCATCAATGCAAAATTTCACTTGAAATATATGTCCTCAATCTCCTCCCCAAACTCACTGGTAAAGCCAGAGAGGCATTCAATGACATGCCAGATATCCCATTTTCATATGCTGGACTTTAAAAGCAATTCTTTTAAAGTACCATTTAACCACTGATGTATATCGGAAACAGTTTCGGCAGACAAGCAAACCACTCTCTATGTCAACTAGGAGTGGGTTGGCAAATTAGACCACGACATGAAACTGTGGTTATCTAGTGTGAATGTCAATATAGAAGACCCCAAAGCGATTTTAGACTTTTTTCTTTTAGATCAGGCCCTTACTAAATTGCCCCATCCCCTTATGTCCTTAGTTAAGGAAAAAGAGCCTAAAACTTCCAAAGAACTTTCAAGAATTGCCGATAACATGATTGAATTTAAAGGCAGGACTTGGATTGAATCCATTACCAAAACAGACCCTAAACCATCCCAGTCATCCCAAATGCCGTCCTCCACCACTCCCTGGATACAATACCCCCCGTCGAGGTGCCCAAATCGTTTACCCATTACTTCGCCCTCTAGAGGTACACCCACATCCCTAAGGTCCAACTTCTCCGATGCTCCCAAGCCCTTAATGTCACTCACCCCAAGATTTTATTTAACCCCTGATGCGAACCCCTACAGTAGTAACCGTACACCCCAGCCAACAAAAAACAAAACCAATTACGCATGTTACAGATGTATGGGACATTTCAGTAAAGATTGCCCCCTTAATCCCTATAGTAACAAATCGAATGACAACTCCCACTCTCCCCAATGACTAGGCTTTTATGTTAGACATGATAATTCCAAGAAAAATCCATGGTTATTTCCTGGAAAATTAACAACCAGGATGCCACGATCCTAAGGGACACTGGCTGTTCTAAAAGTGTTGTAAGAAGTGATTTTGTTGTCCACCCAAACGACTATAAAGGAAAAACCGTAACAATTCGGGGCATCACTGGAAACAATGTATCCCTCCCTATAGTAGAAATCTATGTTAACTGCAAAGCCTATAATGGTTAAACAGTAAAAAGATAACAATAATTTTGTAGTTAAGTTTACTTTTATGACATTTTAATTTAATACTGTATGTATGTGATTTTGTACATGCCAAAAATACAGTATACCATATTTAATTAAGTGCACAGACTATTATTGTTTTAATTAAGTTAAATTAAAGTAAATCAAAGCCTATGTCATGATAGTGTATGTGAAATTGTGTTTTGATTGGTTCTCCCCACTCCATACCAAGACCTGAGAGGAATTCCTGCACTGGAACCAAATTGTGCCTAAACTAGATTGTAAATTATTGAAACTGGCGGCACCAGTGATTTGTGATTCTCTTGCATTTATATGTAATTTATCTTTGTTTTCTTCAACCTTCCCCTCAGAATGGAAAAAAGCCAAAGTAACCCCAATTTACAAAGATGGTGATAAACCTGAACCAAGCAATTGTAGACCAATCTCTGTTTTGCCAATAGTTTCAAAATTAATAGAAAGAGCAGTTCATGATCAACTGTATAATTATTTGACTACTAACAACTTAATCAACTCATGTCAATCAGGATTCAGAAAGAACCATTCTACTAACACAACACTAATAGATATGTCCGATATCATACTAAATAATTTTAACAATAGTAAAGCTACTGCTGCTATATTTCTGGATCTCAAGAAAGCGTTTGATACAGTTGATCATGGACTACTGATAAAAAAGCTAAATTATTATGGAATTGACGATATTTAGCTACAATGGTTTAAATCATACATATATGACAGATCACAAGCGGTTTTTATTAACTCCAGTCAGTCTAATCTCATGAATCTCAATATTGGTGTACCACAAGGATCTATTTTGGGTCCCTTACTATTTTTATGTAAATTCTCTACCTGATGTAATGTCCTGTAAAGTTGTTATGTATGCTGATGACACCACTATACTTTGTAACTCATCTGACCCAGTCACTCTACAACAAGAACTAAATTCTTATTTGACTAAAATAGCTGACTGGTTCAATGAAAATAAATAAATTATTAATATAAAGAGAACAAACTACATTCTTCCTAAATTTAAATATATTTCACTTAATTTGAATGGTGATATTATTGAAAGAGTTGATTCTTTTAAATACTTAGGTGGAACTTTTGATCCTGTACTAACTTGGAAAGACCACATAAATAAATTATCTTCAAATTTGTCTAAGCGTATTGGTGTCATCCGCCGTATAAAATACCTACTTCCACCCCATACTCTTAAAATGCTTGCTAAGTCCTTAGCATTACCTCTTTTTGATTATTGTTGTTGTGTCTGGTCAAATTGTAATGTTCAATATTCTAATTGTTTACAAGTTCAAATGAACAGATTATGTAGAATTGTTTTGTCTGTTGATACAGTATTTATACTTCCGTTGATGTTATGTTAAGTTCACTTGCATGGAAACGACTACTGTACATGTAAGGTGGAATGAACAGATAGCCTTAATGACTTTTAAATGTTTAAAATGGTATGCGCCATCTTATTTATCATCTAAATTTAAATTTAATATCGAATCCCATTCAAAATGTACACGTAGTCAATCTCATAATACCCTTTTTGTACCACAATGGAATAACTGTCAAGGCAAGAGAACTTTTTTGTATCGTTCAACAAAGTTGTGGAATGAACTTCCACACGAAACAACAAGAAATTTCATGAACATGTCTATTATATTTTTTAAAAACTCTTTTAATTCTTAATCACTTTTATTATGATTCTATTTATATATATGTATGTTTTTTAATTACTTTTCTTTTAACTTTTGTACTTTATGAAACTGTACCACTTTGAAAAACAGTACACAAGTACTGAAAGTGCATGTAGTAGAAAGACAGAATAAATAAATAAATAAATAAATAAGAAACATTTGACACACGTATGAATGGATGCAAGAAATTTATCACCAATGGCATAATTCCATGGAAGAAAATGATTTTGAATCGAAATACTGTACTTCGAACATTTTTCCTGCATTTTATTTTACACCAGAACTAGCATGATCAAAGTATCGAACTTCAACACAGAAAATAATGACCAAAATATTGAAGGTCATAGTGTTGCCTAGCAACTGACTGCTGGACTACCAGTTTCAGGATGATTGATGCATAAGGACATAGCCTATTTTGATGTTGCAGAAACTTTATTTATGACCTTTAAACAAACCTTGGATTGGATTTTGACCTGTGAAAATTTTCAGTGACAATACTATGAACAATAGGCGAACACTTTTAAATTTTAGTTTAGTTTACAGGTCAAAATTACACATAATCGCTGCAGACGTTCTTTTTTTAGAAAAATAAAGCACTCATCTTACAGCAATCCAAAATTGTTTATGCTTATTGAGTGTCTAGACTTGGCCTGTATTCAGTAATACTACCTTTATACCATTAAAACTGTTCCTTGGACCAGATCCAACCACTTTTTCAGACCTGTTTTAGAGCACTCTTCTGAAAATGAAAAGGCTATCACAGGATGTTGCTGTGACAACCTTTTCTTTTTTTACACCTAGTGTATCTGTACCACAAGTTGATGAATGCTCCGTTGGTCAGTATGTTATTTGTATATATGATTTTCATAATTATGTTGGTCTTATTACTGATCGATCCACTGAGTTTTCAGATGTTTATGTTAAATTTATGAGTAAGAATGAGACTACTGGAAATTAGTTTTACCGGCCACGTTGTGATGACAAATGCTGGATTTCTGTTGAGGACATAACCTGTATAGCATTGATACTCCAACTATTGCAAGCCGGTCTGCCCGAGCTTATAAAATTTCAGAAGATGCTATGTCAAGGTATTTAGGATTGCAGTAAATTTTAAAATAAAGTATCATTTGAATAGAAATTTGTCCATGTGGTCATTTTTATTGTACCTGTATCTGGAAATCTCATTTGAGTGAATAGTTTGAAGATTTATTTTTGAAACATAATTTAAGCGTAGATTCTCAATTTAATTAAATATAATCTTTTCACTTTCAAGTATTTCCTTAATCAATCGTACAACAGCATTTAACCATAAAAATTTACCTGTAAAATATCTTAGAGATATACATCAATGTTTTTAATATTCTGATTGTAACATATAATGAACTTGATTATTCTAAATTTTTAAGTTGATATTGCAAAATCCATATTTGGTTCTACCACCAAACATGACTATCCTTATTTCTCAAATTTCTGGCTGGACCATAATGGGAGGCATCTATTGGATAGTATTCATGCTTGGTTTACATCCATATTTAATTTACCTATACAGAAGTTAGTAGGGTATTAGAAATCAAAACAGTTTTGGGTTAGGCCTTCTAGTCTTTGAGATATGGATGAAAAAAATTGCTGAAGGCTCTGTCGCATTCATTTTGCCCTATTCCAACAGTGGCATCAATAAGGAATAACAGAGCAGCAACATGTGAGTACACTTACCCTAATCCACCATATAATCAGTGTCCAGCTAAAACTTTGCCTTCCTTTTCTGCAATCACCATGATGAAGTAGCAGTGTCTCTCACTCTCTGTGAATGTAATACCTGTGGAAAGATCAAAAGTTTTTGTATCAGGATTAATTCAGATCTATCTACCATAAAAAATTAAAAATATTATACACTAATTAAAAAAGCCCAAATATAATTATTTTGTATAAAAATATAAAACAAATTAAAGTAGTCCATCCAATACAAATCTACCCAAGCTCTCACCCTCTATATTTAAGAGTAATATAAAGGCACCACCTACTGATTTCGTGACATCAGTGGCAACCCTCTATACTGCTCTATCAAGATAATTATTCCAATTTTTAACTGTGTCTACCATCTGTAAAATGTACATATTTTAATATTGTGCTATGCTAAAATACAGGTAATTTAATGGCAGGACTTGAGAGTCTCACCACGTCATCCCTCCCGTAAATTAGTAGGTTAGTACATTGAACTTCTTCAATAGAAAATCATTTACATATACAAATATATTAGTCCTAAATGAGCTTTTTCGTTATTGTCTTCAATTTTTTATTTATTTTGTTTATTTTTTAGGTTTTATCATAATAACCGTACATCACTTTTTTAGTTTTAATTTTATTTACTGTATTGTATTTGCAGACTGGTAAAAGAAGAAATTCGCCTTCACTACACCTTTACCCTCTGTCCATCTTATAAGTGAACTAAATATCAAGAGTCAAGAGGACATCAGTAGTACCTATGGCTTATTCGAGAGATCAAATTCGCTGTGGCGGCTGGAGCATGTTAACTACACTGGCCAAGTATACCAAAAATATAAACAGCCCAATGGTACAAGATGAACAGAGCATCAGACTGCCTGGTTAGATTCTTATCTGCACAATCTCCAAAGTTTGATAGGCTTGTGAAGACCAAATTGCTCGATCAAGCATAGACACAATGAAAAATCTCCGTCCTAAGTTAACATTGACATTACCAAATTAACCCAGATGTTGCTAGACATGAACATGCTTGCTACTGTACATTAGATTTAGACAAAAGATATTAATTAACGTCTCTGTGGTAACACTAATTTGAAACCCTAATACTCTAGGGATAGGCTTAGTATTGTTGCTTTATATTGAGCAATATATGATCGAATCAACACACACAAGGAAACTACAAATCACTGTGTTATTCCCGCTCCGCATCCACCCCAACCCATCAGTACTTCTATTTGTAGAGTGGATCACATATTCACTACAGAACAGCATGGTCTTTCTCTCTAATCAACTGTCCATGTTATTTTGGTTAGTGACGATGTGGGAAAATTTGTTTGAATATACAATTAACAATATTTGTTTTGACTAATACTTTATTTGCGATGATTGAATATCGGGGCTAACGTTTGTGTTGTTAATGACAACGGGGAAAATGTATTGAATATTATTAAAATTGTATTGACTGTGTGATGATTGAATATCGTACAAAAATACAGGCTTCTAGGCCTAGAAATAATACCTTTTTGATTTCTTGGTAATGGTTTTATTTAGCTGGAAAGTTCCACGTTCATGCGTAAGCCTGAATAAGTTGTCAAGTGTGGTCTTTCAAATGACGTGTGTGGAGTGAAAAGAATCCACATTTTCCAGCTCATCATAATATCACAAGTTACACAATTATTTAATAATTCATTTAAAGATAATGATTGAAATAAAATGCTACTGTACCAAGTTAAATATGTTTAATAAAAACAACAAAATTATAACTTAATTAAATAACTATTTACAAACGTCAACATTTTTTTGAGTCATATTACTGTTTACAAAATACATGCAAACCAATTTGGGGACTCCCCATATGCGTTGATTTGTCGTCGATTCAATATGTGTGACGTTCAATAATGGCTTTTAAAAAAAGAGTAAAAATTCCCTTTTTTTTTACAAATATTTTTTTTTTTTTGCTCAAGCTTATACTTTAACAATGCCTACTATGTTTGGGAAGATTTGATTTTTGTACACCACGGATTCATGGGTACATTCAATCATAAGGCCAAGTAAAAAAAAATAATTGGTTAGCATCCTTTTGGTATCAAATTTCATGGTAGGGAGGGAGGTTTTTTTTTTTTTTTTTTTTCTCGTAGAACATGAAAAACCAGCGTCGGAAGGAAAATTAGCAAAACAAAGAAGAGGAAAACAACAGACGCCAAAATTGGACACAAGAAATCATGTAATTCATCTATATCAAGCAGATAATCTTTGTCTATATGAATAACAGTCATATTGAAATCCCTATATATGAAGTTTTAAAACATGCAACATTGTATATGTTTACAGAACTGATGATATCGATAACAGGTCTATAAAGCATTCCATCCTAAGTGGCGAGTGTAATTGCTGTTGGATGTGAAATTAAAAATAAAAATAACAACAGCAAAATAAGAAGATTGAAGTTTGTCATAGTCGTATAATAATTCCTTGTCCATTCATAAACAGAAACGTAATTTTTGAACTGGCATTTTGTACAATTGATTACTATTTTTGATTGTTTATGTGATTGATTATGTACATATAGTGATAATACTCAATAGTGAATACTGTTAATGAGTTTGACTAGTATCATGTGCTATGTTTATGCTTTATCTAGTTGGACCAGCTGTTTGGAAACATCACGTCACTGTACCAGCATGTGAATATTCCATGCTTTGTGTTTAAATTTGTGTTTGCTGGACATTAATTATAACTGGACCATACTGGGTTTGTTGTTGGAACAACACAACAGTCATCATTGATGCCATGCAGGGGTTTCGCCAGAAAAAAAAAGACGGCCTATTTTGTTTTTCCAAAATGGAAGCCAGTGGGCGTGGCACTAAGCCGATGGTGGGCCACGCCCATCGTTAGTAATCCCCATCGATTATTGGTACGAAAACGTACATTCAATCAATAAATGTTGTTTTTATCAAACGTAAATATGATTTACCTTTAGTTTAATGTAACATTCGATAGATTTGAAGAATATATAAAGAATTTGCTAAAGGTAGACCAGGCCCAATTAGGCTAAGCCGAGCTGATTAGGCCAAGCCATCCAAGCCATCACGGTAAAAGTTGCCGTCCTAAATAATTGTAGGCAATCAGATCTAGGCCTAAATGTTTACATAATACTTTGCACATCTATTGACATAGGCCTTGTCCTACCCCTACCCCCTACCACAGCTCAGGTCCTGTTTAATAATATTCAAACTCGCCTTATGCGTAGACCATCTGTGGACAGGCTTGGGACTAGGTTGACTGGCGTGGTGTTCTTGGAAGAGGGTATGATCAACTCTTCCTTATTAATATCATCCCATATTTCGTTATAAAACAATTACATGACATGATTATTAAATATTACAATACACGTGAGTTGAATGTGTTATTATCATTACCAGGCAGATGCTATTTACATGTTGTAACTAGGGCCTAGGTTATAATATCATATTATGAGTTGTTAATGGACCACATACAGGTGGTTTTGAAATAATAATTAATAAACTATGCTAGGCCTAGCTCTAGCTAGGCTAGGATAGGCAGTAATTTATATGGTGAAAGCAGCCTTCAAATTTGTAATTCATGAACATGAAGATAGATACTGTACTGTACAGTAGTATCTGAATTCCCTGTCTTGGAATAATAAGTTGAGCAGAATTATCAACCAAATATTTAAATTTATTTATTTTTTTAAACTGCGCCTGACCTTAGTCCTTAGCTTTGTTTGCCTTCTCACTTCTCATCAAAGGAGTGAAGCTGAAGCTGGTTACCAACCAATCAATCAATGTTCATCCCTCTCGCGAACAACAATTTTCAGTATCTAAAATAATGTACTGTAGTATAGGCTAGGCCTACTAGACGAAAATTGGTTGATAGGCTGACATAGTTGCATTCAAAAATAATACGTTTATGACGACTCACTGCAACCTATCTTAGATGTTTTCCCTCCATTTCTTCCTAAGGTCTGCGTACACAAATACGGCGTACAAGATTTACGTTGTTGTGCACGCGATGCACGTGCTTCGACATCTTGGATATTGCTGACAACAGGTATGTATGGGACGCTTATGGAGTGCGATAATGCTCAGCAGCGAGTTCTCTAGCCTCTGATTGGTCAAAATATGCATGGAGGGCGCTAAGCTCGCAGAGGTAACTTAAACCTTAAACCATGGAGGTATTATTGAGAAGGAGATCACTCGGCAACAGATCCCTTTGACGCGACAAACCTATGTGTTCCCCGCTTTTGCATCGCGCGCGGGCGTATTACCCTATAATTCACACTTTTTCGTTGGCAACGACATGCATTTATACGCTTCCAGAGCAGAGCAGTTGTGCAATAAAACGTTTGATTTTAACCCATTAAATATCTTTATAATGAACAATGTTCCCCTGATTAGATTTTTTCGGGCTTTTGGTATGTTATTATTTGTATATTTCAGGAACGGATTCCGTAAAATATTTATGTTAAAATTACTTCTGTGTTCATTATAATTTTGTCTAAAGATTGACTGGTTCGACTATATAAAGCTAAGTCAATGTAAAACTGAAAAATACTCAGATTTTGGATTCATTTTTCGAATAGTTTATTTATGTTTAAAATTATTTCTGTGTTCATTATAATTTTGTCTAAAGATTGACTGGTTCGACTATATAAAGCTAAGTCAATGTAAAACTGAAAAATACTCAGATTTTGGATTCATTTTTCGAATAGTTAACCCTCGTTAACCCAAAAATGACTTAGTTTATTATAATCCTTAATCATTTATTAATTAATATCTGTTAAAATTAGAATGGGCGAATTTAGGCCAATTTATGAAAATTGAAGTTGAAATATACTATACTTTTATAGGTCATGTAAATGTTCCATTAAATTCGAAACTTTTCTTGGTGGAAAATATTAATATGTTTGATATCTTATGAGAGATGAATGTATCAGCTTCAAAATAAAAAAGATTGCGCAGCCATAGTGATTGACAGTATGTAGTGCGCATTGAGAAAAGAAGGTGCTCTCCATTTCGTCATGTTCAATTTTTTGGTCAACTGGCGGGGAACACATGGGACTTCAAAGGCATCGCGCAAACGTTCTTTACGCGCTGCGGCAACTTTGATCTTGGTTCATTTGCATAGCGCTGCGTGCGCGTAGCTTTGCCGAGTGATCTCCTTCTCAATAATACCTCCATGCTTAAACAATGGAGGTATTATTGAGAAGGAGATTACTCGGCAACACTGTCCCTTTGACGCGACAAACCCGCCTTTGGATCGCGCGCGGGCGTATTACCCTATAATTCACATTTTTT